CTTTTATGTAACAGTGACTACAGATGAACCTTCTTTCCTTGATACAGCTGAGATATGGTAAATTTTATCCGGCATTTTCAATTTTTTGCTTCTTTTAAAGGATTCATGGATGCTTGAAATGCGGGATGTCTCAATCCGTTCTTGTTTTGATAAGGATACATCTTTTTAATGCTCATAATACAAAGGGTTTAATGTTTTGGCCTTGAAGATTCATTTACAGGGAAAGCAAAGCAGAAGGGGACATTTAAGCTTTCAACAAGATGAAAACTCAAGAGTACAAAGTAGAAACCGAGAGAGTGAAGACGATCCAGAATAGCCACGACTTAACAGAAAGCATTGGTTGCAGGGGCGCAACGTATCTGAACACGACTAATTTGGCAACGAAGAAGTTGAGAAACTTAACAGCCGAGGTAACAAAGGCATCCCGAAGTTGATTTCTCATTATTTGCTCTATCTTCCATAGATGGCCTGGTACGCATAACCTCACTGTGAAATATGCAAGCATTACCAAGAATGCGTATGAGTACAACTTTTGCATGTTGCTCTTCATCTGTCTCTCTGCGAAATGCATTTTTGACTCCATTTTTGGCCCTTCTTGTTTCAACTCTTTCTGTTTGTGTTATCAGACAGCTTGGTTAGGCTATTTATAGGTACTTAGAGAAGTCAAATCACAGCTTATTCTTGCCGGACAAGGTAGACTCTTGGATCAATGAATAGATGATTAATCCTAGAATCAGGTATCTTGGAGAGTACGAGGTCAACTGTAGATGTTGCAATTAAAATAGTTGGTAGTCAAAACCGTGGGGAGGAAGCCTTGAACCTAATCCTATTACCTCGATGCATATGGATCTCTACTTTGCTTTAACTCTCAGTTTTCTTAGGCGGTGGATGAGGTAAATCACATATGGGGTGGATGAGGTAAATAACATGTTCCATAATAATTGATTTGATAAAAGAACACACTTGAAGTAAAAAAAAAAAAAAAAAAAAAAAAAAAGAAGAAAGAAAGAAAGCAAAAATATCTTTTGATTTATGAGAAAGTTTGCAGTTGCTATTTGAAAGTGTGCATAATATGAAGTTGAGATTTTAGCCGGCAAAAGATTATACAAGGTGGTAAACTAGACCAATAGACAATTACCAGTTGAACTTATCAAATCAATTGCCCTACCATCTTGGCTGTAGTTGACTCAAAAGTAAAATTCCTGATAAATATTTATTCCTGCTTCCTACTTGTACAACAGTTGTCCAAGTCACCAACTTGATCAATTTGCCACACAATCCAAGAGGGGTAAGCAATGAAGAAGAAGAAATTATCCATTTCTCACTCAACTTATCCTTACACTCCAACCTCAACTCTCTACTAACTACAAAAGAAAAAATTTATTAGTGAATCCCTTTTTTGACACAAGTAATTAAAAATCTAAACCGAAATCATTCAATTTATAAAATATACAACCAATTGATTTTTATTTAATAATAAATTAAAATCTAACTATTTGACTCGACTAGTTTCAAATATAACCCGAATTAAAATGTTCACCCTTACCTTGTACATCTATGGTGAGGTGTAGTGGAGTCCATAAACTTACAACTCAATATGTCAATTTTATTTCCATGGAATAAAACATACCGCATTTCTGTATTTAATATTTTGCATCCACTAACAACCTAATCAATCACAAAACCAATAATCCTGAGATTTATTACACAAACAATTCAAATTGTTCTCCATAATAGACCCATGGCCACGCTCATGATTATGCCTTAACAGCTTATGTCGGGCAATTTATATCATGCATCACGATGCACATAGCAATATGTGCCCATGCACAAAACGCGCGTGTTTCAATTGTTAATGTCACTCCGTCCGTCCAAACGTCCCAAATTCCATTATGTGTATTCAGTTAAAAGTTTCTGTGTTTATGTTATGAGTTTTTATGTATTCAGTTAAGAGTTTCTGTATATTTAGTTAGTTAAGAATTTCTGTATATTCAATTAAGAATTTCTGTATATTCAGTTAAGAGTTTCTGTGTATTATGTATCATGTTAGATTATGTGTATTCAGATATGAGTTTCTGTGTATTCTGTTATGAGTTTGTGTATTTGAAACAAAGAATTTTTTTTGACAATGCACCAAAATGATATCATTTATTGTGCGCCCTAGTGCACGATATAACGATTGCTTATGTTGAGCATGAAATCAAGATCGAGAAACTATAACCTTAAAAAACACAAACAAACGTAAATAATAATGGATTTGCTGGGGTGTTGACACAAGTCTTTGGGCTAGTATAGAGCTGCGTGCATCTGGTTTCTGTAAACATAGTACAAAGAAAAAGAAAATGATAGGATAAAGATGACCCAGAACAGAAACCAAGGGTCGTAGCGACGCGTCGACATATCTGAATACCACCAACTGGGCTGTGAAAAAGTTTACGAATGTTGCGGCAAAGAAGGTGACAAAGGCATCAAGGAAACATGAGCCAAATCCGAAACATGCCATGGCTGTAACGTTTTTCCTATTGCTATTATTACTCATATATATCACAATATAGCATAACCATAGCAATCAATAATTAATGATATTTAATATGATTTTTTTATTTAAAAAAAAAAAGATGAAAAGAAACACGTCCAATGCATATCCACCGTAGTATAGCATCCGTGCGTGGTACAACATTAATTTAGCCCAATATTAAAAATATATAGCAAAAAACTATAAATTTAATTAACATTGTATTTCATCTAATCTATTTGAAATATTTAATTAAATTGATATATATATATATATATATATATATATATATATATATATATATATATATAATGAGTAATTAAGTTGTTAAGATACGAATCAATTTTTTCTGAGGCCCAAACACCATTTTTAATTAAGAAGTTAAGACATGGTCAATTTTATATTTTTTTCTAAGGCCCAAAACACATTTTTTCTTGCCTTAATATCGGCAATTTATATCCTACACCATGGCGCGCGTTGCACTGTGCGCCCAGATGCAAAACGACGTCGTTTTAATTTTTTTTTTTTTTTTTTTTTTTGAAGTTTCCCGCCCCAGTGAATGGCAGTAATTTTTCCTTTAAAAAAACCGCGCTGTTCAAAAATATACATAATGTTATACTAGAATACACATAATTGTATACATGAATGTACATAATTATATAACAAAATATACATACTCTTTTTAAAAGATAATACACATAATCTAACATAATACATAATAAACATAAACTTTTAACATAATACACATCAACTCTTAACATAATACACACAAATTTTCTGATTCGGATGTACATAATTGTATAAAAAGAATGTACATAATTGTATAAAAAATGCACATAACTGTATGAACAAATACACATAATTGTGTGAACAAATACACATAATCACAGCAACTTCCTACCGCGCATCCCAAAACGACGTCGTTTTGAGAGGCGTGCGGCGCACAGTGCTACGCACGCCGTGGTGTAGGATATAACGATTGCTTAATATCTTATCTCTGTCAAGACAATCGTTATGCTGTGGAACCGAGTCCACCTTGCAAGGTGGACACGGTTCCAAATTGTTTATAATGACTGAACTATATGTTAAAGAACATCATAATTTGCTCTGTCAAGATCTCTCTCTGCATTCCCTAGCTCAATCTAGAATCCACAGGGGTTTGTTAAAAGAATTCTTGACATTTATCATTTTATCCCATCCTATTAAATCCCGGGAATGTAAATTTGGTAGCAACCAAATTACTCTAAATATGGAAACCTTACCAGAGAGAGAATGATGTTTATCCCATCCTATTAATCCCGGAAATGTAAATTTGGTAGCAATCAAATTACGCTAAATATGGAAACCTTACCTGAGAGAGAATGATGGGATCACCCCGTGACTGAAACAGCCTTTCATTCTTCATCATTTGGACAATTTTCTAGACAAACCCTTGCATTGAGAGGCAAAGCAAGTCAAAGTGAACAAGAATAGAGGTATTAATGTACATTGAGCAAGAACATCATCTTTAGGCAAGCAATAATTCATAGGTTATGAAACAGAAAATTACCTGCTCCAAGGAATTGAGCAAGAATATCAACAACTTTAGGCACATATTCTGGTGTGTCATTTTTTAAAATTGAAAATCATTTTTAAAACTAAAGAACACTTCAAAATCTTTTTTATACTAAAGAGTAAAGACCACACTTTAAAATCATTTTTAAACAAGAGAACACTTGAAAATCATTTTAAAAAAATACTTGAAAATCTTTGCTAAACTAGAGAACACTTAAAAATCATTTTTAAAACAAAAAGAATACTTGAAAATCATTTTTAAACGATAGCACACTTGAAAACCATTTTTAAAACTAGAGAGCACACTTGAAAATCATTTTTAAAACTAAAAAGAACGCTTGAAAATCATTTTAAAACTAAAAAGAATATATGAAAATTATTTTAAAAAAATAAAAGAAATACTTTAAAAATCATTTTTAAAACCAAAAATAATGAGCCACGAGATGGTGAAATGCATATACAACAAGCACTCAATATATGTAAAGTTTATTTCTTCATTCTTTCTCAGAACCATTTATTTCTGAGACGAAAATCAGATATTAGAAGTTTCAATGAGAATGTTAGTATCCCGATACAAACATGGAAGGTATAGCAACTGTATAGAGGGAAAATAGATATTGTTCTCATAAAAGACCTAAGATGTGTGAGTAAAGGCTAGGGCTGCTAACGAGCCGAGCCGAGCTCGAGCTTTGGGTAGCTCGAGCTCGATTTGTTAGAGGGGAGCTCGAGCTCGAAAATGGGGCTCGAGCTCGAGCTCGTCACAATGTTGAGCAACTCGAGTTGCTCGTTTGTTCGAGCTCGAGCTCGAGCTGCTCGACTTGGATTCGAGTTCGCGAACTTGTGCTCGAATTCAAGCACAATTTGACCTATTTAATACATGCTAAATCAGAATTCATTAAAAAAAAAAAAAAATCAAAGTCCAAAACAAAGCTCTCCACACAAGTTTACAGCTTCAAAGCTAAAGTAGAAGTCTACAACAACATTACAAAATACAAACAGATTAAACAACTTCACATCAATTCAATACAAGTTAAAGAACTTAACATCAACTTCACATCAATTCAATACAACTTAAAGAACTTAACATCAACTTCACACTCGCCATGCTTTTCAATCTTCACTCTTTCCAGCAACAACGCCCCGTCAAAAAAGATTAGGAACAATCATTCTAACATAACCTGCAAATCTTTAGATCTTAAACACACTAAACTAAATATATAAAAGCTGTAAATGATCAATATATAGATTTTAATTGAGATGTTACTCATGAGTTGGATACTAGAAGATAAAGTGTGTAACTTACTTTCATGGGTTGGATACAGGAAGATAAATTTCTTGATACGATTTCTCTTTCTGAAAAAAAAAAAAAAAAAGATAAATTAACATGTAATTAAACAAATATTTTTAAAAGGCAATGCATCATTTAACATAAAAGATATAAATTAAAAATTAACTTACTTTGTTTTTGGTAACTCCGTGTATATGTCGAAGCCAATCACCCCCACAGAGTAAAGCTTGTACTGTTTCCGGCAGCAATGATGCACGATAAGAATCAATTACTCGTGTCCCCGCACTAAACGTTGCTTCTAAAGCCACCGTGCTAACAGGTATAGCTAAGATATCTGCTGCCATTCTTGCCAATATTGGATAGTGCATTCTATTCATCTTCCACCAAATCCAAACAAGAAAAGTCTGCAGCAATCTCACTTTTCTTAAGACGGCCTTTTTCAAGATAGTCTGCTAACTCTGATTTCTTAGGCTCTGAAGTTTCAACTTGAGCACAATAATCATCAAAATCATCCCAATCGTATGTAGAACTTTGACGGCTTACTTGGCTCCCAAAAGTTGTAGAAGAACCTAAATTTTTAGAAATGTCTTTGTTCATTGCTTCAGCAACATACTCTTCATAAAGAGTATTGATGATCTCTTTCATTTTTGAAATGTTTTCCTTAGCTTCAATATCAGAATACAGTCTAGGAAAACAAAACTCAACAGCAAGCATCTTCTTTCTTGGATCAAAAACAGCACCTATAGCCATCAACAGATTACACTCACCCCAATATTTATCAAACTTCATTTTCATTTTCCCAACCAAATCCTTAATGAAGGAATCCTCATCATTTGCATGACTATCCAAGGCTGCTTTGATTTTCTGAACTTCTTGAAGAAATAAATTTGAAGTAGGGTACTCACAACCTGAAACAAATTTGAATTCAGATACTCACAAGTCACAATCTAAAACAAATTTGAAGAAACAAGTTAAAAGAAACAAACCTGAAATAATGTGAGTAGCTGTCCAGAAAGCCTCTAAAATAGAGCAAACCTTGGTAACTTTAACCCAATCATCTTCTAATGGACAACTGTCGAAAAATGGATCACGATCATTTAACATCTTAAAAGCTTCTTTAAACTTGAGTGCACAACTAAGCATCTCAAAAGTCGAATTCCATCTTGTTTTACAATCACGGATCAATTTTCTATCTTTCAACTGTAATTGCTGCACACAATCTGCAAACTGTATACGCCTTGCCTCCGATCGATTCACATATTCGACACTATCCCTAACATCCCTAATGACATGTCGAATCTCTTCTAATCCATCTTGAACACACAAGTTCAAGATGTGTGCACAACATCGAACATGAAATAAACGACCTCCACATACCAAACTTCTTGATCTTTGAAGTGTATCCTTCATGTACCGAATTGCAGAATCATTACTAGTAGCATTATCAACCATAATTGTAAAAACCTTCTTTTCAATTCCCCAATCATTCATGCACCTAAATATAGTAGCATCACATATTTGCAGACCTCCCCTCGGTGGTGGAATATTGATAAAGCTTAAAACTCTCTTCTGTAATTTCCAACTAGAATCAATCCAATGGCCGGTCACAACCATGTACTCAATCTTTTGGTTTTTTGATTTCCAACAATCCGTTGTCAAACTTACTTTGCTAACGGATTCAAGATTGTGCTTCAACTTTTTCTTTTCAAGCTGATAAACCTTCAAACAGTCTGATTTGTTTGTGCTTCTACTAATCTTTCTCCACTCTGGCATTCCTCGTTTCATCATGATGTTAAATCCTACTTCTTCCAAAATGTTAAATGGGTGCTCATGCATCATGATCCAATGAGCCGCAGACTCTCTCATTACTCCCATGTCAAACTTCCCATGATGTAATGGCGGAAGAGAAGATGAAACTCCATCACTAGGCAAAAAATTCAACTTAGTTTGTTGATCAACCACCTGCAAAACCAATACAATTAGTCAATTACAATAAATTTATTTCCATCTAGCTAACATTTAAGCTAATGAGAATTAAATAGTTACCTGTAAGTTTGTCTTTCTCTTAACACATTTCTCTTGATGCCTCTTGTAGCTAGTTGTCGTTCCAGTTTTAGTCAATGCAAAGTGATGATGACAATGATTGCACTTTACCTTCTTTATTCCATCTACATTGATCACTTCAAAATCAACCCACACACTTGAGGTTTTTTTCCTCTTGTTTGTTTGAAAATCTTATTGTTGTTCTACATCTTCATTTTGGGGTGTATCATGATCACCTAAATCTAAGTCAATTCCTTCAGTTTGTCGCACTTCATTACTTTCACCAACCATACTGATTGAAGTAGGTAGATTTTGCGGGATAGATAAATTCTCGGTAGACATTAACTAATGGAAAACAATAATAAAATCAATAACTTGTTTAATTAATTTGAAATTTAGTTAGGATTTTAATTGCAATTAACATCTATTTAAAGATTAATGAAACATAAAAGGAATGTGAGTGAACAAAAGACAATTCAAAATGTACATACAATTAACATCTATTCTAAACATAGGCTCTAAATCATGTTTAAAGTAGTGCATAACTTTAGGAAAATTGGTAAATTCATAAACTACTACATAACTTTAGGAAGGCTTTCATCTGTTTTCTTAATTGCACTCTAATAGGCACAAAATAGAGCAGAAACATATTCTAATAGGCACAAAATAGGCACAAAACAGAAACATACTCTAATAGGCACAAAATAGAGCAGAAACATACTACTATATATACTAGTACTAGCTTCTTTTTGTCAGCTCTCAAGAATGATGATGAGGTGAATCTGACACAAAACCCACTGTCATCTGTTTGCTTTGCATCACTACCAAGGAAGGCTTTAATTTTGATTAATTAGAAAGGTAATCAGTAATCACATTACATAAACACTCCAACAAAACTCACAAACAGATTAGTACATACAAAGATAACCAATGCCTAAAGTCCAAATTCAAAATAAAATGATAACTCAGAAACACAATACATAAACTCCAAATCCAAAATAACCAGTCAACACTCAACACAAACACATTACACTCTAACAGTCTCTTGATGCCTCTTGTAGCTAACTCAGCAACATAGATATCATATTTTTTTTTTTTTTTTAAAAAAAATTAATTACCTTACAGTGGTAGAAGGAGCTGCCGGAGTGCCGGACCGTCGTCGGAGGCGGCGGAGTGGTGCTTGGCTGCTGCGTCACCTGACCGTCGTCGGAGGCTGCGAGAGGGAACCGGAAGCAGCTGTCACGAGAGCCGCGCCTGAGGGTGTCCAGAGAGGCAGAGAGCTGAGAGCTAGCGGCAGCGGTGGACTTGGGTTCAGCTGCAACGTCGCCGGCGGTGGCTGCGAGAGGAAGCCGGCGAGTTTGTCGGCGACTCTAGAGAGAAGCGAGAAGCGAGAGGGCGGACCGGCGGAGAGGCTATACTGCGAGAGAATTGAATAATTTAGGGATTTTTGTTTTAGGGTTTGATATATTAATATATTATATTATATTATATTATATTATTTATTTAATTATGGCTCGGCTCGCGAGCCAACTCGACGAGCCGCGAGCATATAACATATGAGCTCGAGCTCGGCTCGTTTGCCTAACGAGCCGGCTCGTGCTTGAATTGACCGGGCGCGATCCGAGCTTTGACCGAGCGGCTCGCTAACCGCTCGCGAGCCGCTCGGCTCATTTGCAGCCCTAGTAAAGGCCAACAATTAAAGACAGCAGTTTTGCAATCTGAAAGAATACAAATTGACCAAGGTGGCAGTTCATAGTGCCTCTGATTGAATGTCACTGTGGCAGACTGGCAGGTGAATTCAAATGGAAATTTGCGAGAAAAGACGCACAGCCACCAGACATCGAATAAAATACATGTGCCTAGAACACGTGAATAAAACACATGTTAACTCTACATCAGCAGAAACTTTATTTTTTTTTTAAAGTGACGAGGGAAACACGCAACTACTGCCTGAGGGTAAACCAGTCTAAGTTGACCATAGCTAACCAACTCAAACCAAGAAGGCCAATACAGGCCGCTCCTGCTAAGAATTGAATTTGTAACCTTGTGGTTATCAAGTCAAAAGTCAGACCAATTTGGCTGAGGGTTCCCCAGCAGAAACTTTTCTTTGATAGACAGCTGAAGCAAAAAAATAGAGCTAACATTTTATCGTGCCATCTTTCCAGCAACGGGGGGGGGGGGGGGGGGGGTGGTGGTGGTAGGTGCAGATGGTGACTTGATGACAAAAAGCATATTACCATATAGCCAACACTTTCTCAGGAATCACTTGGAAATAGAAATGACCTGTTCATAGTTTTCAAACGGCGTAACAGTCGGATCTGCATTAACTAAAGCTCTCTCACTTAACTTAATCGCCTTATGAAGTTCCATCAAATGGTCATAACTTTGGCTGGCTAAGCAAAACCTATTTACCAAGGAAGAAAATGTGATTAGTTAAAATGGAAAATCGAAAGTGACAAATAGAAACAAGCATTCAAAGAAATAAGCTTAGAGGAATTATCTCAGTACTCTTACCGTATTCATCAATAGGAGCATCATAATCATAGCTGGTAGTCAGGAAAGGGCCTCCCGCCGTACTTCCAAAATTGGTTCCTCCATGATACTATCGAGAGAAAGGAAAACAGAACATGTTAGCAATTTCAGGAATAAGGTCCTCATTCTGTAAAGAACAGTAGCAGAGAAAAATTCATTGTTGTACCAAATTTATCGTTCAGGATTAATTCACAATTTTCTCAAACACAGTGCCTAACATCTTTAGGGAGCTAATTCTATTACAGGTCAGTGAGATAATAAATGGACAAACTTTAATAAATGTCACTGACCATGTAATAATTCACAAAGGAACCTCCTTTTTGGATGAATTGGGCAACTTCAAAGGCCAAATCTTCAACTGGTCGATGGTGAATTGGGCCTCCGAGGAAAGTGACTTCACTTAAGATACCAGAAATGTGAAAACATTAGTACTCAACGGTATATAGAGGAATTACCAGCCACTCCATGCCTCGGTCCATAATGTGGGTTTGTTATTTTGATTGGGGTGAAATAATCGCAATAAAATCCGTTGCAATTATTTATCTGTTCTAAAAAGTCAAAACAAAGAATAGCCTTTTGTCAGAACATTTCAATGGAGTCAATGCACAAACACACATATTTTGACCAAAAGATATTTTTCATAAAACTTCAAATATTTCTGGAAAAGCCATCAGTTAGGCTAAAGAAGAACAAAAAAAGAACAGTTTGTTGCATATAAACTTGCACATAACCCACAGGATTAGCTTTATGAATTTAACTAAATCATTTCTCACACAAAATCAGACTAAAAAAAAAAAAGAAGAAAATAAACCACATTAGTTCAGGCAAAGGTGGAAATGAAGAACTAACAAAAGCACAAAAATATGCAAGAAAACTATGGTAATACATTGCCAGGTGAAGGTTCATGGAGGTTGCAGAACACATAGGTATCAATAACATCCAAGCCTCCATCATTAGTCTTCTGTATAAGGCCCTCCCACATCTGCTGTGTTTTTAGAATCTAACCTATTATAGGTGATAGGGGAAAAGGAAAGCAAAAAAAGGAAAAAAGTTAAGAACTTGAATACCTCAGCCGCCATTTTTCTCCTTTGCTTTGGATTGGGGGGTGGGGGGGGGGGGGGGGTGGGGGGGGGGGGTGGAGAACATAAGATGCAGATTTCCCCTACAATGGAGGGAAAATAAATAATGTGGTACACAAAATTAAAGTTCTGCGAATGGCCAAACACTAAATATGTCTTGTATCTATCAGGTCACTGACACGAGTTGGACAAAAGAACAGACACCAAAACACAAAAAGGTGATTGGGTATTTATTGAAGGAGAAGACTTTTACATATGTTAAAAACCTACCCAAGCCCGCCTCCTAAACCTCAAATCTAGGTTTGGCCACCGCTCCACAACCACCTCACGGAATGATTTACATATTACAAACTGCTCTCAGCTCTATGATAAGAGCCTTCTGTACAGCATCGCGCTCCACATTTTCAACTAAAGTCTAAGGAATTGAGCAAGAATGTCAACAACTTTAGGCAAGCAATAATTCATAGGTTATGAAACAGAAAAATTACATGCTCCAAAGAATTGAGCAAGAATGTCAACAACTTTAGGCACATATTCGGGTGTATCCTTTTTTAAAATTGAGAATCATTTTTAAACAAAAGAGAAAACTATATAATCATTTTTATAAACTAAAGAACACATGAAAATCATTTTTAAAATTAAAGAACACTTGAAAATAATTTTTAAATCTAAAAAGAAGACTTGAAAAGCATTTTAAAACTAAAAAGAATACTTCAAACCACTGAAAATCAAAGATTACTACCATTAAGTTGGTAAGTAGTCACAAGAATGTTCACTCGTAGACTATATTTTCAATAACAGAGAATGGTTGGTATACACTAAACATCAAAGATTACTACCAAAAGCATTAATTCAAATTCATTACTGAAAAATATTTTAAAAATTAAAAATAACACTTCAAAACGGTGAAAATCATTTTTAAAAACTATAAAGAACACTTAAAAACACACAAAAAAACATATTAAAAACTAAAAAAAAAAACCAAAAATGTGGGAAAAACCAAATGGACAGAAAAGAATTTAGGACACAAAATAATCAAGAACAGGCAGGCAATGAAATTCAAACAACAGACAATAGTTGTATACAGTAAACATCGAAGATTACTATCGTTATTACCATGACCTACCACAGAGAAGTCCAAATTCATGAATCAAAAAGCACTCATCCAGAGGAATGATAAAGAAATAAAGAAGAATGAAATGGGAGGCAAAAGGAAAAATATGGGTGAAATGATGAAAAGGATGAGTAGATAACAATAAGGAATGAACTAAATGAAGGGAAAAATGAAGAAAATTAGAGAGAAAATGTGAGTGAGATGAGAAAGAGAATAAGAAGAAAAGGAAGAAGAGAAAGGTGGGATATAATAAGAAAAAAGAGAATAAATATGAGAACAAGAAAGAGAAGAAAAAAAGAGTAGCAGTAGAAAAGGAGAAAAGAGAAGATAAAGGAATATGAAAAATGAAGAACAAGGGTCAAAACGTAGAAAATGATAAAAATTACACTTTAATGAAAAGAATAAAGAGAAGAAAAATAAAAAGGTGGATGAGGATAAGAGAGAGAAAGCAAAAGGATGAGGATAAAAGGAGAAAGGAAGGAAAGAGAAAAAAAAAAAAGACGAGAGAGTGAGAAAATGAGTTTGGACAATAAGAAGGAAAAGAGATGATAAAAATTAAGAAGAGAGAAAGGGAGGGTAAAATAAAAAGAAACAATATGATGTATTAGAACAAAAAGGAAAAGAAAAAGAGAAATGGGTAGAGAGGTGAAAAGAGGAATAATTAAAATTTTGAAGTAAAAGATAATGAAAAGTGAGACGATGAAGAAAAAGAAAAAAAAATGAGAGAAAGAGAAACGAGGGTCAAAATGAAAAGAGAGATAAACACGCACAAATGAGAAGAGAAGTTAGATGAGAGATAAAAGCAAAAAAATAACAGGACGGAATAAGAGATGGAAGGAGAAGGAAGGGGAAGAGAAATAAAAAGACGAAGATGATTTGAGTTAAGAAAATTTGGAGAATGAGAAGGAAAAGTGGTGAAAAAAATCAAAGATCAAATATATATAGAATAATAAGAGGGGAAAAGGAAAAGAAGAAAAAATAGGAAGAAAATACGAAAGAGTTAGGATATACAATAATGTGAACGAAAAAGAGAAAAAAGGAGAAGAAAAAATAGTAGTAGATAAAGAAGAATGAAATGGAAGATAGGTGGAAGGAAGAAAAATAGGGGTGAAATGATGAAGAAGATGAGAAGATTAAGAAAGAGTCAGGATATACAATAATGTGAACGAAAAAGTGAAAAAGGAGAAGAAAAAATAGCAGTAGACAAGAAGAATGAAATGGAAGATAGGTGGAAGGAAGAAAAATAGGGGTGAAATGATGAAGAAGATGAGAAGATTAAGAAAGAGTCAGGATATACAATAATGTGAACGAAAAAGAGAAAAAAGGAGAAGAAAAAATAGTAGTAGACAAGAAGAATGAAATGGAAGATAGGTGGACGAAAGAAAAACAGGGGTGAAATGATGAAAAAGATGAAAAGATTAATAAAGAATGAACTAAAAGAAGATAAAGGAGGATGAGAATAATAATAAAAAGAATTATAAGAGTAATGTAGGGAAAAAAGTATGAGAATTATTTTAAGAAAGGATGGAGAACATGAAGACAAAAGAAGAAAGAGAATGAATACGGGGACAAGATGGAGAAAAATAATACCCCTCTCACACCATGAGAAAGATAAACATGCACAACTAGAAGGGAATTTGGATGAGGACAAGAGGTAGAAAGCTGAAAAATAACAAGACAAATAAGAAATGGAAGGAGAAAGAAAGGAAAGATTAATAAAAAGACGAAGAGACTTTGGAGAATGAGAAGGGAAGAAGAGGATAAAAATTAAAGATAAAAGGGGAAAAGGTGGAAAAATAGAAGGGAAAACAAAAAGAAGAAAAAATATAAGGAAAAAAGAAGAAAAAAGAAGGAAGACATAGAGAATAATGCCTAATAAAAAAGAGAAAGATGAGAAGAAGAAAGTGTAGATAAAGAAAAATGAAATGGGAAGATAGATGGAAGGAAAAAATAGGGATGAAAAGGATGAATAGATAACAATTAAGGAATGAACTAAAAGAAGATAGAGAAAGGTGGCGAGGATAATAATAGAAAGAGAGAATTATAAAAATTATGAGAACATGAGAGGAAGGGAAAAGAAGTATGAGAATTATTTTAGGTAAAGATGGAGAACATGAAAGAAAAAGAAGGGGAAAAAAGAAGAAAATGAGAGGAAGATGAGAAAGAGAAGAAGAAGAAAAGGAAGAAGATAAAGAAGTAAGAAAAGAAAATTAATACAAGGACAAGGAGGAGAAGAAAAAGAGTGCAGCAGTAGGTTAAAAAAACGAGGAGAAAGAGCAATAAGAAAAATAAGAAGAAAAAGACAGAAAAAGAGAAGTTGAAGGAATATGGAAAATGAAGAATGAGTGTCAAAATGGAGAGAAAGATAGGTGAAAAAGAGAAAAAGGAGAAGAAAAAAAAGCAGTAAACAAAGAAGAATGAAATGGAAGATAGGTGGAAGGAAGAAAAATAGGGGTGAAATGATGAAAAAGATGGGAAGATTAATAAAGAATGAACACGGGGACAAGATGGAGAAAAATAATACCTCACACCAGAAAGATAAACATGCACAACTAGAAGGGAATTTGGATGAGGACAAGAGGTAGAAAGCTGAAAAATAACAAGACAAATAAGAGATGGAAGGAGAAGGAAAGGGAAGATTAATAAAAAGACGAAGAGACTTTGGAGAATAGGAAGGAAAGGAGAGGATAAAAATTAAAGATAAAAGGAGAAAAGGTGGAAAAATAGAAGGGGAAAACAAAAAGAAGAAAAAATATAAGGAAAAGAAGAAAAAACAAGGAAGACATAGAGAATAATGCCTAATAAAAAAGAGAAAGATGAGAAGAAGAAAGTGTAGATAAAGAAAAATGAAATGGGAAGATAGGTGGAAGATAAAAATAGGGATTAAAAGGATGAATAGATAACAATTAAGGAATGAACTAAAAGAAGATAAAGAAAGGTGACGGAGATAATAATAGAAAGAGAGAATTACAAAAATTATGAGAACATGAGAGGAAGGGAAAAGAAGTATGAGAATTATTTTAGGAAAGGATGGAGAACATGAAAGAAAAAGAAGGGAAAAAAAGAAGAAAATGAGAGGAAGATGAGAAAGAGAAGAAGAAGAAGAAAAGGAAGAAGATAAAGAAGTAAGAAAGAAAATTAATACAAGGACAAGGAGGAGAAGAAAAAGAGAGCAGCAGTAGGTTAAAAAAAACGAGGAGAAAGAGCAATAAGAAATATAGGAAGAAAAAGACATAAAAAGAGAAGTTGAAGGAATATGGAAAATGAAGAATGAGTGTCAAAATGGAGAGAAAGATAGGTGAAAAAGAGAAAAAGAAGAAGAAAAAATAGTAGTAGACAAAGAAGAATGAAATGGAAGAATGAAATGGAAGATAGGTGGAAGGAAGAAAAATAGGGGTGAAATGATGAAAAAGATGGGAAGATTAATAAAGAATGAACAAAAAGAAGATAAAGGAGGATGAGAATAATAATAAAAAGAATTATTATAAGAGTAATGAAGGGAAAAAAAGTATGAGAATTATTTTAAGAAAGGATGAAGAACATGAAGACAAATGAAGAAAGAGAATGAATACGGGGACAAGATGGAGAAAAATAATACCTCACACTATGAGAAAGATAAACATGCACAACTATAAGGGAATTTAGATTTGGACAAGAGGTAGAAAGCTGAAAAATAACAAGGCAAATAAGAGATGGAAGGAGAGAAGGAAAGGGAGGATTAATAAAAAGACGAAGAGACTTTGGAGAATGGGAAAGAAGGAGAGGATAAAAATTAATATAAAAGGGGAAAAGGTGTAAAAATAGAAGGGGAAAACAAAAAGAAGAAAAAATATAAGGAAAAGAAGAAAAAAGAAGGAAGACATAGAGAATAATGCATAATAAAAAAGAGAAAGATGAGAAGAAGAAAGTGTAGATAAAGAAAAATGGAATGGGAAGATAGGTGGAAGGAAAAAATAGGGATGAAAAGGATGAATAGATAACAATTAAGGAATGACCTAAAAGAAGATAAAGAAAGGTGACGAGGATAATAATAGAAAGAGAGAATTATAAAAATTATGAGAACATGAGAGGAAGGGAAAAGAAGTATGAGAATTATTTTAGGAAAGGATGGAGAAGGATATATATATATATATATATATATATATATATATATATATATATATATATAGACAAAGATAGAAAGAGAGGGAGAAGGTCAACAAAGAAAAAACGAGAAGGGATGGGAATTAGAGTGGGTGAGAGTAAGAAAGGATGGAGAACATGAAGGAAAAAAAAAAAAGGAAAGAAAGAGAGAAACGATTAAGGAAGATGGGAAAGAGAAGAAAATTAAGAACAAAAAAAGGGGGGATAGAATAAAAAGAAAGAACATGATAAATATTAGAACGAAAAGGAGAAGAAAAAGAGAGTTAGAGTAGTAGATTATGAAATGAGGAGAAAGGCGAAATGAGGAATAATGAAAATTTTGAAGTAGAAGACAACGAATAAAACAAACAATGAAGAAAAAAGGAAAAAAGAGAAAGATAAACACGCACAGATGAGAAGGGAAGTATGAGGGATAAAAAGCAGAAAAAAATAACAAGACGGAATAAGAGATGGAATAAGCTGAAAAGGTTCTGAGGGAGAAGGGAAAGGTTTCGAAGCGGCAATAAAGAACACTCTAAACAAAAGTGAAATTAAGACATGGAATAAACAAAAAGCACATGAATACTAAAGCAGATTCTTAAACTAAGGCAATATATGTATACACTCAGGAAAATAGCTCAAAATGGAGGTACCTTCTTATTTAGAGGGCGAGCCTTAAACTTGGGGAATTTTGCCATCATTTCTTATTCCAACTCAGCTGAGCTCTTAAGTTTTACTGGACGGTAACGTTGAGCTGTTTCTAGTTCAGGTTCCTTGGGCCTTGTCAGTGTAAGCTTAGGATTCCTCTGCACTGATTCCAGCCATACCATCCTGAAAAATAGTTTAAATTTTTAAAGAAAATGTACTAGAAAATTAATAGAACTTTTAAGCAAGTTATTTGTATTTATATGTGACATGGAACAATTCAAGCATGGCATTGACATCTCCCTTGTACTAGATTTGAACTTCTTTATCATTTCTGCCATTGAAATAAATGGGGCTGCTGGTTCACGAACACAAATCTGAAATAGAAAATTTTCACCACGTTTTAGATTCAGAAATTAATGTCCATAAATGAAATGTGCAAGACATAAAAATGCATACTAACCTTTCTGTCTTCTGTACGTGTTTTAGCAGTTGAAGTGTACAAGTTGCTGGTAGATTTCCCAGGTCTTGTTTTATGGAGCAAAGTTTGGGGTTTGATGTTAAAGACATCAGAAAAAGTGAGAACAAATTGAGGAGATCATAATAAAAATATGTGAAAAATGATACACTTAATAAGGTAAAAATTTTTAGTCAATAAATGACTCACCTGTTTAGCTTTCCCCTCTTCAAGTTTTTGCCTCTTTATAGCTTGATTTTCTTGAGCAGAATTTGAAATTTCAGATGTAATTTTCATATGTATTCCTGTGAATCAATAATTGATAAGAAACATATTACACAGATTCCAGCACAAAAGATAAAGAGATATAGAACAAAACTAGACAAATATGGAAACTAAAAGAGAGATATCTACCTTCTTGCACTAGCTGGATTAATGCTTTTCACTTTTGATTCAGATTTTGACTTCAATGCAGAGGGGTTTGAGATCATACTTGCTATTGTTTAGCTGTCTGGTGTTTCTTAACAATTAGCATCTGTTCGTTAGGCTTCCCCGTCAGGAGTAACTTCTTCCTATCAACAACATGGCTCAAAAGTTATGGCTTATTATGCAAATTCCAGTGCATTGGTGCCCATATTATAGAATTCAGAATCAGACCAATTGTGAAATCCTATATATACAGGCATTCAAGATTTATTTCAAAGCATAAAAGAACAGAAGAGACAACACAAAGCTGAAATTAATAAAATAACCGTCTCTCCATTAAAAAGCTTTTCAAATAAATCAGTTAGGAAAACAGGAGACTTTAGTAGAGAAAAACTCCATAACAATCTCAATAACAAAGAAAAGGCACACTCTCAAATCTCAATCAGTGAATACCAGATCCATAGAGAGAAGAGACGAAACCACCACCCAGGTTGCAACTGATATTTTCAGTAGCCGTTGGTCAACATAGCCACTACAAAGTAAACAGGAGACTTAAGTAGAGAAAAATTCCATAACATATTATATACAAGCGCACAGAGTGAAGGGAAAAAAAGATCAAAATTAAACATAAGAAAGAAAAGGCACACTCTCAAATCTAAAGCAGTAAATACCAGATCCATAGTGAGAAGAGACGAAGCCACCACCAAGGTTGCAATTGATATTTTCAGTAGCCGTTGGTCAACATAGCCGCTACAAAGAAAACAAGAGACTTTAGCAGAGAAAAACTCCATAACATATTATATACAAGCACACAGAGTGAAGGGAAAAAAAATCAAAATTAAACATAAGAAAGAAAAGGAACAATATCAAATCTAAATCAGCTGACTGCTTGTCACCAAATCCCTGAGAAATTAGCGAAATGTAATCAGAATCATAACCCCGAAAACAACAGTAGAATACAATGCAGATGGAGCAAAACAAGCCAAATTGGCTTCCCCGTCAGGAGTCTCTTCTTCCTATCAACAATCCTTATACATGGCTAAAAAGTTAAGGCTTATTATGCAAATTCCACCCATATTACAGATTTAAGAATCAGACCAATATTGAAATCCTATATATACAGGCATTCAAGATTTATATCAAAGCATAAAAGAACAGAGACAAATTCACAAAGGCAAACACAAAGCTGAAATTAATAAATTAACCATCTCTCCAATAAAAAGCATTTTAAAAAAATCAGTTAGTAATAGTGGCTTCACATACTGTGACAGGCTGGTTATACCATTTGTGTGAAAAGAATGAATTCCCTGAAAATGCCATGGAAACATCCCTTCCAATTATCGATGGAGAATACTCCACTGCAAGCAAGAATAACACCTCACACCATGAGAAAGATAAACACGTACAAATGAGAAGGGAGTGTAGATGAGGAAAAGGGGTAGAAAGCATAAAAATAACAACACGAATAAGAGATTGAAAGATAAGGAAGGATGAGATTATTAATACCTATTGCAGAACACTGTTGAATTATATGAATGGAATATCTTGGCATTGATTTTCAGTAGACGTCAACGTAGCTGCTAAAAAGAAAATAGGAGACTTTAGCAGGGAAAAACTCTATAACATATTATATACAAGCACGCAGAGGGAGGGAGAAAAAGACCAAAATAAAACATAAGAAAGAAAACGCACGCTGTCAATCCGTGAATACCAGCCAGAGTTTTCTTCCCATCGACGGCAACATCCATTATCGGGATAAGCTGAAATGGATCCGAGGGAGAAGGGAAAGGTTTCCAAGCTGCAATAAAGAACACTTTCAACAAAAGGGAAATTAACACATGGAGTAAACAAAGAGGCACATGAATAATAAAGCAGTCTCCTAAACTAAGGCAAGATGTATAAACTCAGGAAAATAATGCGGTCACTTAAAGTGGAGGCACCTTCTAATTTAAACGGCGAGCCTTGAACTTGGGAATTTTTGCCATCATTTCTTCTTCCAACTCACAGCTGAGCTCTTAAGTTTTACTGGACAGTAACGTTGAGCTGTTTCAAGTTCAGGTTCCTTAGGCCTTGTCAGTGCAATCTTAGGCTTCCTCTGCACTGATCTAGCCATACCATCCTGAAAAATAGTTCAAATTTTTAAAGAAAACATACTAGAAAAATAATAAAACTTTTAAGCAAGTTACATGTGACCTGGAACAATTCATGCATGGCATTGACATCTCCCTTGTACTAGATTCGAACTTCTTCATCATTTCTGCCATTGAAATAAATGGGGCTGCTGGTTCACGAACATAAATATGAAATAGAGATTTTCACCATGTATTAAATTCAGAAAATTAATGTCCATAAATGAAATGCAAGACTTAAAAGTGCATATTAACCTTTCTGTCTTCTGTACGTGTTTTAGCAGTTGAAGTGTACAAGTCGCTGGTAGATTTCCCAGGTCTTGTTTTATGGAGCAAAGTTTGGGGTTCGATGCTAAGGATCTAAGCAAAAGTTAGAACAAATTGAGGAGATCAGATTAAAAATATGTGGAAAATAGAACACCTAACAAGGTAAAAAATTTTAGTCAATAAATGACCCACCTGTCTACCTTTCCCCTCTTCAAGTTTTTGCCTCTTTATAGCTTGATTTTCTTGAGCAAAATTTGGAGTTTCAGATGTAATTTTAATATTTGCGTTCCTGTGAATCAATAATTGATATGAAACATATTACACAGATTTCAACTCACCAAAATAAAGAGGTATAGAACAAAACAATGCAACTATGGGAAGTAAAAGAAAGATATCTACCTTCTTGGGGTTTGATGCTAAGAATCCAAGCAAAAGTGAGAACAAATTGAGGAGATCAGATTAAAAATATGTGAGAAATGATACACTTAATAAGGTAAAAAATTTTAGTCAATAAATGACCCACCTGTCTAGCTTTCCCCTCTTCAAGTTTTTGCCTCTTTATAGCTTGATTTTCTTGAGCAAAATTTGGAGCTTCAGATGTAATTTTAATATTTGCATTCCTGTGAATCAATAATTGATAAGAAACATATTACACAGATTCCAGCTCACGAAAATAAAGAGATATAGAACAAAACAAGACAAATATGGGAAGTAAAAGAAAGATATCTACCTTCATGCACTAGCTGGATTAAATGCTTATCACTTGTGATTGGGTTGCTGACTTCAATGCATAGGGGTTCCTGATCATACTTGCTACTTTCTTTAGCTGTCTGGTGCTTCTTAGCATCGGTTTGTTGGGCTGTTAACTGAGAAGTTATTTTTGGTGGCTGAGGGGTGCATGCTCCCGTTAAATAATCTCAGAAGTCAGTGAAACTAAGTTGGCTTTGTCAATGAAACTTAATTGAGGCAAACCAAATAGTATAAACGAAGTTGATATTCACAGAGTGGAGCAAACCTTGAAGTGAGGACAGCTTCTTACAGGATCCTTGAGAACTGATATTACAGCAGAAATAGAACCGTGAGCAGCCGACTGCTTGTCACCAGATCCCTGAGAAGTTAGCAAAATGTAATAAGAATCATAACCCCCAAAACAATAGTAGAATACTATGCAGATGGAGCAAAACATACCAAATTGGCTTCCCCGTCGTGAGTCAGTTCTTGAGAGAGAGTGAGAAGGTCAACAAAGAAAAAACGAGAAGGGATGGGAATTAGAGTGGGTTTGTGAGAAAGGATGGAGAACATGCAGGAAAAAGAAGGAAAGAAAGAGAGAAACGAATAAGGAAGATGGGAAAGAGAAGAAGAAAATTAAGATGAGAGAAAGGGGGGATAGAATAAAAAGAAAGAAATTGATAAATGTTATATTAGAACGAAAAGGAAAAGAAAAATAGAGTTAGAGTAGTAGATTATGAAATGAGGAGAAAGGCGAAAAGAGGAAGAAGGAAAATTTTGAAATCTTCTTAAAGATAATGTTATTAGTCAGCTGGCAATTAGCATACTTGCGCTTTTGCTCAATCTTCTTAAAATCAACCTTATTATCATTCTTCATCGGCAACAAGTAAATATCAGAAATGGCCGCATCAGAAAAAGAACCTCAAAAAAACAAAAGATCATAGACCAACTAACCTTTTCATCATTAAAGTCAAAAATATCAGCAGCTGCATAAAATGAGATCTAGAATACCCTAGAGGGGGGGGGGGGGGGGGGGGGGGGGGGGGGGGGGGGGCATCTTCTGTAAACTTCTTCATCTTGACATTAAGTTCAGCTGTAGCCTCTTCTCCTTCAGCAATGATCCTATCTATATCATCATCTGTGATTGTGCTATCCTTGGAACTGAAAACCATCTCAGCACCAAATCTCACCATCTGCAGTAGCTCATCCTTACAGCTGCACTGAGTCAAGCCAAGGATCCAAATTAGTTATTACGGATTACAGCTATATATCAAAAATAGCAAAACCAAGAGAGAAACCTTACCTTTTGCTCTGCCAGCCTTCCTTGCTGGATAACCAAAGCATCAAGTGCAAGATTCTTATAAGCTCTTCAATCACCTTTTCCTCAATAGTATACTGCTCATAGAATTATAATTTATGTCCATGCTGAGTTAAAATATTAAAGATAAGACTGAACAAACCTCAGAAAAATCATATCAAGAATGTAAATGTTAAAAAAAATAACTCTGAAAATCATTTTAAAAATGACAAAGGAAAAAGAACCCAAAAATGTGGGGAAAAACAGATGGGCAGAAAAGAATTTAGGACACAAAATAATCAAGAACAGGCAGGAAATTCAGATAACAGACCCACCCACCCTGAAAACCACAAAGTTACAGCATATAGAGATGGATGTTAATTTCACAAAGGAAATGAACAGAAAACAAGCAGGAACAAGATGCTTAGATGGGTATGATACAATCTGTCTCTTAATTCTGTTACCTTTGCTGCCAACTTTTGGAGCTTTAGGCTGTCAGCTTCATCTCCATCCTTGTCATCATCTGCCATTTCTCTATCAGACTCATCGTCATCGTCATCACTTCGAAATCCATCCATCTCAGCCTCATCTTCAGCTTCCTCTCCCTTTGCAGCTTCTGAAGATATAGAAGGTAGAAAATGATATCAAACATTAAGAGAATAATCAGAATATACCATCTAAAGTGCAAATGAAACAAATAGAAAAACCAGTATGGGAAAAACATAGAATAAAAAAAATAAAATAAAATGGTTACTTACCAGCAAGTTGCTCCTTGCTTGCATACAAGGAGGTCAAGAATGGCCTTAAAAAAATGCCCTCAAAGGCAGCTGCATGCATTTGATCAGCAGGAAGACTCAGCAATGACGTCAAGCCCAAGCAGCAAACCTTCTTCTCATGCTCCCTGCAATACCAACATGGCAAGAATTAGAAACCACCACTTCTCTTAGCTTTGTTTTTCTTATGCCTTTTACATCTCTCCACAAGAACTACAAGACCAACATATTGCTACCTTTTAGAATTAGCCCGAGCTCCACTTTTTTTAGTTTGTTGTAGCATATGGAACCAAAGATTGAAGATCTCTGTAGCAACACCAAGCTTTTGCAGTATGCTCAGCGTAAATGAAGGGTTATAGTAAAGAGCATCAACAATCTGTCAATAAGAAACAAATTTAGAAGTAATTTCACAGGAAAAGAAGCCCACAAACACAGAGTACTTTTTTTTTATTTGAATGATAGAGAGAAACTATGTAACTACAAGTGTTCTAGAAGCACTGCTCACACTTTTGGCAGCATGTTTGATCACTCCTTTCAAAGCGGTCAAAATAGCCTCACCAATTCCAATATCTGAAGCCTGCTGCGCATATCACCACAATATTAGATTTTGAAAGTTAAAACCAAAGAAAAGAAACAAAAAAAGAAACATAAGATGAAGTACGTCACCTGCAAAGCAGATAAAAGATCACCAACCAAAGGATCAATCCTAGTTGTGAGTGCACTTAGTTTACCAAGGGCAAGAGCACTAGATCGAACAGTCCTGCAAACAACTTGCATAGCATGAGATAGGATTATACATCGTAGTACCGAACCAAACATAATAAACAAGTCTCAAGATGAACCGAAAAACCATAAGTATTAGAATCTAACCTTAACCTTGTATTACTCTGCAAACACTTAACAAATGTTCACACTCGTATGACTATATTTTCAAATGCAAACCAAAAAAGAAGAATGCACGAAAATTGGAGACAAAAATCCTACATCCCAAAAGTAAAAGAACATCAACATTCTACTACTTGTTAACAGCCCTAAAATATTATATGCTATGCAATGACGTATGTATGCAGGACCACACATTTAAGACTTGCTCCCTAACTGTTAAGTAGCCACAGGAATGTTCACACTTGTAGACTATATTTTCAATAACAGACAATGGTTGTATACAGTAAACATCTAAGATTACTACCATTATTACCATGATCACCACAAAGAAGTTCAGATTCATTAAACCAACAGCATTATTGACAGAAGGTGATTTACCTGTCAACCTCCCACATAGCCTTCACTTCAACCTGATCAGTTATATAAAGAATATTATATTCAAATATAATGTCAACTGGATTGAAGAAAACACTGCATAGAAATTAAAATAATAAAATATGATTAAATATTACCTTGCCGGGATGTTGATGGGATTGCGGGATATTGATGACCTTGCCGTCGACGGAGATGGCATTGTCGCCGACGGGATTGACGTCGGCGTCGAAGATGCCAAGCGTGGAGTCATATTTGAGAAGGTGTGAGGCCTGCTTGACACCTCCGGTGTCATTGATGGCAATGACATCAAGGGCAGAATCCATCCTGAAAAATAGTTCAAATTTTTAAAGAAAACGTACTAGAAAAACAATAAAACTTTTAAGCAAGTTATTTGTATTTACATGTGACATGGAACAATTCATGTGTGGAATTGACATCTGACTTGTACTAGATTCAAACTTCCTCATCATTTCTGCCATTGAAATAAATGGGGCTGCTCGTTCTCGAACATAAATCTGAAATAGAGATTTTCAACATGTATTAGATTCAGAAATTAATGTCCACAAATGAAATGCAAGACATAAAAATGCATACTAACCTTTCTGCTTATCCTCTGATCATAGCTTCATCTCCATCCTCATCATCATCTGCCATTTCTCTATCAGACTCATCGTCATCATCATCACTTTGAAATCCATCCATCTCAACCTCATCTTTAGCTTCCTTGCCTTTGCAGCTTCTGGACCTGGTTCATCGACAAGAAACTGTTAGTTCCCAGTCCCAAAAATGCATATCAGATTTCGAACCACATGTCTGAATAATCTGAAAGAACCCTTGAAAATGCTGTTACTTGCTGGGGCTGCAAATCTTACTTTACATTTCTTGTAGAGGGCATCATAGAAATCGCGCTCTGCTTCCGACTGTTCACACTCAATGACTTGGATGTAAGTTGGTGGCAGGATAAGAATTGGCCTAATTCAAGGCTTTGCCTCTCAAGTAAACTTTGAGTTTTCAAGAAAACGAGACAATGAACTACCTCCCTTCCTTGTCCTTCGTTTCCTTTGTTCTCCTAAGCATTAATGGCCTAAGAATTGCCTTGATCAGTTTCAATGCTCTCTGATCACCATTCTCATAAGGTCTCTGTATTAACTTATTCCACCTAAAAGATAGCAAACATTTAAATAATCTAGTTCAGTTAAACTTATTAGCATGTATATATACAGTTATAGTAATATATAAGACATACCATGCCCAATTGCACCATGGCTCAACATGCAAGAAACACAGAAGGCTGTAAAGATCTGGCAAATTATTCTGCAGCAATTAGTGAGGACATCATTAACATAAACCAGATTTCGAGAACAGTCTAAAAAGTATCACATTCTCAAATGAGACGGTCCTATGAAAGCCTCATCTTTTTAGGAAATATGATAAATGGGGACTTTGATGAGGAAACATACCTGAAGTGGAGTACCAGTGAGACACCACCTGCAATGTGCAGACAATGTGAATGCAGCCCTAGCACTCATAGTTCTCCAGGATTTTATGGTGTCTGCTTCATCCACTACAATTCGATTCCAATCAACTTCATGGAATATGCTAAGATCTGCAAGGCCCAAAGCGGATTGCTTTCTTAATTCAGCAGATCCACTTGTAAGACCCTACAGATAATAAAGGAAATTCACATAACCATGCAATCAAAGCTCAACAATGTTGCATTCTTAATACTTGTGGCCAATGCTTGTAATAATGTGAAACAGATTCCAAAAACGACAACAGCAATAATAAAAACAATCTTTATGTATGATTAATAGATTATACTTAGTTTCTTACATATAATAATTCTTGGAAGGATTTCTCTGCGATAATTATTAAATATTAGAAAATTTGGTATACAAATGAAGAGATTCTTTCAATGTAAACATTAAGTTCACAAACAAAAGATAAGCAGGAATACCTGGAGGAAAATAGGAAGCACAGGTTGAAGAGCTTTCCAGAGGCAAAAACCAGGTATTAGAACTGGTCCTCCCGGCATGTTTCTATACATCACGAACCAACTTTATATATGAAGGAAGAACTTCTTCAGGAACTGAACTTATCACACTAGACAATGCTTCCCAAGCAACCTGTAAAAGAGCATGGTAAGATAAACTAGTACATTGAAGTGCATTGTATAAATGTCATACAATGAATCAAAATAACCTTCACGGTAGCTGAATCTGAATCACTTAGTAAAATAATCAGGATGGATATCACATTTGGAGCCTCAACAACAAGATATAGATCACTGGTTTTGAATAAATATCCAATAAAGTATGCAGAACTTTGTCTGACTGAATCCTGAAAAGAATAAAACTCAAATAGTGTTAGCTAAAAATGCAAAACAAAGAAAAGAAAGTCACATTATCATTATTCAAAACAATAAATCATGCCTGAATATCTCCAACTCCTTTGAGAAGCCCCGACAGCGAAGACTTGATACCTTCCTCTTCAATTACAGTGACAACAGTTTCTGCTGCTTTCTTGGCGAGACTTTGAACCTCCGATATTTTCAAGGTGAAAGCATGACACATGCAAATTATGCAATGAAAAAAAAACACAAATCAACTTAAGCAATGACTCAAATTTAAATGATGTGAAAGACGAAACCAAGTAAATGGCATTATGGCATAAAAATTAGGCTCCTACCATATCAGTATAGCCCATTGCAGTGAGTAAAGCAGGAAGGATGGTACCAATGGGGGCATCAAGACCAGGTCCAGCAACCTCTGCTAAAGCTCCCAAAGCATGAGCATTGAAGGCACTGGATATAAAGCACTCTCACATGAAAGCACTCTCTATCTAAAGTTCAGAAGCAAACTGAATCATGAATAGGGGGAGGAAATGACCCAGCAATCACAATGTCTTCTTCAATCCTATGACATGAACACTCAATCCATCTTCTTTACGCGTAAAATCGAAAGAAATTCTAGAGATTCAAAGTCTCAAACAGAAGCAGGCATAATCCTAAATGTTCAGAAAGATCAAAGGGGAGCAAATGAAAAAGGTGCATACTTTGGAATATGGATGAAGGTTGGCCATCATGGATCATCAATCTTTACTCTAACTTCTCCAATTCATTCAACCTCTCTATGATAGCCTGCAGTTCCAGAAGAAATCAAACATCCATTTTTTTCTGCAAAATCTATGCAAAGTACATTTCACCAGAACAAGGATAAGGCGCGAGAAAAATCCTTCTTCTTGCGATTACTCTCACCTTCTTACTTGTTTCTTGGAGCTCCCCAGCGAGAACGAATTCATCTAAGATTAGATATACCTTCATAGGAAAACAATGCAGCATACACAAGGTAAATACACTAGAAGTAAAATAAAATACAGAGATTCACAATGAGAAAGACTGACAAATCATACCTTGTGAAAGTTAAAAACCAAATCTAACTCGCAGACATTACTAAAGAAGTGATCCAGTATCTCCACAAACAAGTGGATGCACTCCAAATAAGCCAACTCGTTGTCCGTCATATCAACACAGAGCGAGAAAAATAACCCAGCTGCCTGTAGATTATCTTGTGTGCTTGGAACTGACAAGTAAAACATCAACTACACGCCATTACAATCCCGCAGGACCAAAGAATTCACTCTCATAGTCTGTAAAAGTGTCTTCAAAACGACACCCTCGGGGATTAACAGTATATTTTATCTCATCTCCTTCTTGGATTAGTTAGTAGAACTGTGGAAGAGAACTAGCAGGTGAGAAACAATTAACTATTTCCCCCTTCACATTCCGCTCTTAACCACAATCAACAGAGTCAGTATTCAATCAGAGCATCTTTGGCAGTACAGTTTAAGGAATCAATGGCCTCTTAACTTTGAAAGGAATAGAAAACACAGCACAGATCTTATCATTGCATGAAAAGTTTCACATGAGGCAATAGAACGATTTGTGAAAAAAAAAAAAAGTTCTAACACTCTCAGCTCCACAAAGTTGGTGAATTTGGGGTCTCTATTCACGACCAACCGCTGAACCTCCAGAACCAGATCGAATGTTAAAAGTCAGCGTTAATGACACAAATGTATCAAGATATCATAGCAAGAACATGTTTTCGACTTTGTGCTTCTCGGATTCCACGAGGGGGGTGTAATACTTGGCCAAACGAGTCTATGCTTGCCAGTTTTTAAGCAGAATGAATCAAATCTGCCCATTTCAAGCCCAAACCAAACCATCAACCAATTCGCCAGAAAAATGAATCAAGAGAACACCCAAATGGCACTGCTTGAAATTACCATTTTGATAGAACCACTGGATCCAAGAGAAAAGACTGGGTTGATTCAGTCTGGCATTTAGCGAAAAAGAGAAGCTTTTCTGTTTTGCCCGCCGTCTGGAACAGTATATTATTTTGAAGTATTTCCTTTCTTCTTTAAAAAAAAAAAAAAAAAAAAAAAAAAAAAAAAAAACAACCACGAACCACCTAGTATTTTTATTTTTAATGAGAGAAACTATGTTACTAGACGTGTTCTAGAAGCAGAGCTCACACTTTTGCCAGCATGTTTAATCACTCCTTTCAAAGCAGTCAAAATAGCATCATGAATTCCAACATCTGAATACTGCTGCCCATATCACCACAATATTAGATTATGAAGGTTAAAACCAAAGAAAAGAGAAGAAAAAAAAAACACAAGATGAAGTATGCCACCTGTAAAGCAGATAAAAGATCACCAAAACCAAAGGATCAAGCCTAGTTGTGAGTGCACTTAGTTTACCAAGGGCAAGAGCAGCACTTGATCGAACAGTCCTGCAAACAACTTGCATAGCATGAGCTAGGAATATACATCGTAGTACCGAACCTAACAAAATATACGAGTCTAAAAAAGAACCAAAAAACCATAAGAATTAAAAGCTAACCTTGTATTATCCTGGAAACACTTATCAAATGTTGTTTGAAGCTGGGGAGGCCAACCCACCCTTCTTCTGTATTATGATGCTCAAAGTTGAGAGAATTTCACTTTTAACTTGCCATGGGAACCTGTCCGGTTGTCCCCTATTATACGGATCAACAGCCTACACCAAATAACAATTCATGAACAAGCAATCTAGAATGGCCTTACACTGGTGAGCCAAAAGTTCAGACAATTAGAGGACTATTTTATAGTTGATGCACTAATAAAGGGCATAGTTCACTGCATACCATAAATAGGCAACGTAATGTCTACGTATAGCTTATTTTGTTGGTTGCAATCCTTTTAATAGTCTCTGGTCAAAACTAGCAATGTGTAGAACTATAGTAACAGCTCATACCCTGTGATTGGAATGAAAAACTCCTTTAATGCTTGCTCACTTGACACTTCAATTAACCCACCACGGCCCAAAGCTGCTTTCTCTCTTAATTTAGCAGATCCAATTATAAGACCCTGCAGATAATAAAGGAAATTCACATAACCATGCAATCAAAGCTCAACAATCTTGCATTCTTAATACTTGTTACCAATGCTTGTAATAATGCGAAACAGATTCCAAAAACGACAACAGCAATAATAAAAACAATCTTTATGTATAATTAATAGATTATACTTAGTTCCTTACATATAATAATTCTTGGAAGAATTTCTCTGCTATAATTATTAAATATTAGAAAATTTGGTATACAAATGAAGAGATTCTTTTTAGGGCAAAAAATAAATGAAGTAAATGAAGTAAGCCTACAAAAGAATATTGACACCTATAAACTTAAATGAATCAACCACATTTCTCATAGTATTTCAAAGAGAGAGAGAGCGCGGTAAGCATAAAGAACAAGCTTAAAGCATGTAATTATAATACATAGCCCGTTCAACAGGAAGGAGCACATTAAGATGCCAACTCCATAGCAAACATGTAAACCTTGTATATAACAACAAAATAAAAGATTACCAGCGTTCGTGATATTAGGATAGTCATAACAACAGGAAGATCTTTGGTTCCAAGCACATCAGCCACAGAATGTAAAGCCAATGCTATCCCTTGTCTGCCGATCCAACCAGCACCAATATTGTCCTCACAAAAACCAGCATCACGGATATACAATCATTTTTAAACTAAAGAGCACACTTGAAAATTATTTTTAAACTAAAGAGCACAATTGAAAATTATTTTTAAACTAGAGCACATTTGAAAATGATTTTTAAACTAAAGAGTACACTTGAAAAATCATTTTTAAACTAAAGAGCACACTTGAAAATCCTTTTTAAACTAAAGAGCACACTTGAAATCATATACCTATTAATAGTACTTGAACCAAATAAAAGGAAACCTGCTGCGGTTTTAGTTTTTCAGCAAAGGACAAGGTCAAAACATTTTATCACACAGTATAGCAAAAACTAATTAACCCAAAAGGATGAAATAGGCAGGCATACCTTTGACAGAATCAACAAAGAAAACAAAAGGATCCGCCTCATCAATGGCTGATTGCAACTCTTCATCATCACAAAAATCATCATCAGATGAGTCATCCTCGTCATCATTGGAGCGGAAAGCACTCGCCTGAAAACCACAAAGATACAGCAAAATTTAATTCGTCGGAGATTTTGAAATTTAAAGCCGGCGAAGGGAAGGAATGGGAAGGAATCGGAGGAGATTTTAGATAGTTTAGAGAGAGATGAGAGCGTACAGTGTGGTCTGCCTGTCCGAAGTCCGAACAAAGGTTAGGCTTTGGATATTTATACGTGGGCCGATGGATAATAAATTGGGCTTAGCACAAGAAATGTCCATGGATAATTAATTAGGCCACTTTTTTATATAATTTGGGGCTGTGTATATGTTTATGACTATAAAAAATAAAAAGGCCTTGGATCATTACTTCTCATCATTATGCTATAGACTATGGTCTATAAATTTTTGTAAACTATAAATAAAATATATTTTTTTATTTTTAATATACTAAAAGTAAATTATTTATATACATAAAGTAGAGTATGTATATACATAAAGTACTAATGAAGGGGATTATAAATGTAAAAATTTAATTTATAATAACACTAAAATTTTTTTAAAAATAAGCACACTAATAATTAATGGATTGAGCACATACATACTTTCTCCCATTAGAGTTTGAACTCCATCCGAAAGAGTTATAATTATGTTGTTTGACCATAATATTTTTTATGAGTATGATTTTTTTAAAAACAATCATGATTTTTTACAAGATAGTATCGGGATTTTTTTTTTTAATTCATTAGTAATTCATGATAATAAATTTATAAATAACTAATAGGAAGTAGTAATTTTGGAGTATGTAACATTTACCTTTATAAATTACTAATGACTAGGTCCATTTGTTAGTGTTGGCCGTTTGTGACAAATTTA